GAGAGAGAGAGAGAGAGAGAGAGAGAGAGAGAGAGAGAGAGAGAGAGAGAGAGAGACTAGTTTATATATGATCAGCTGTGGGTCTGACCACTTGCTACAGCCCAAGCCATGGCCCAGTACTGTAAAAGAATACTGTACACAGATGGCTAGCCTAGGGAAAGGTCAAAATTTCTGGGCTGGTGTTGCAGTTTGATGGGATAGTGTGAGTACCCCATGCATGAGGGCCTGGGTTCAGCCCCCAGCACCCCCAAACCAAAGAAAATACAGTTGCCAGTGAGTACGTATCATAAAGTCAAAAGTCCTAAGTTAAGGTCCTAAGCCAGAGATGTCTGTAGTAAGGAGCTGGACACAGAAAACAGAGCTCAGGACATGATTTTATGTTATGTCTGTTTTGTCACAATAAAAAGAAAAAAAATATTTCTTAAGCAGGTGGGAATGATATCATTAGGGAAAGGGCTTAGATTGGGCAGAAGCATTTGCCCATAAGGAGAATGGACAGAAGTATTTGCACAGGAGGAGAGGTAGGCTCTGAATCCAAGGAGACATGAAGTCCCACTGAGTGCAGCAAACTCAGGACCACCGAAAAATGACCTAGAGGATTAAAAGAGCAGTCTTCAGCAGCAAAGTCTCCCCGGCCGGCCGGCAGCAGTATCAAGGAAGGCTGGGAGAACATTCTGGGAGCATTGAGAAGAGTAAGGCTATTTCCACAAAGTCCAAGTGAGGTACAGTAAGAGCCTGAGTTCAAGGCGGTGGCGCGTTGAGGAGGTGGCACGCCCATGAAAGTGGACTCATGAGTGAGGGCCCGTGTACACGCCACTGGACCACGGGGGAGGAGTTAGGATGATGGTGGTATTTCAGACTTGGATGGCTAGGTCACCATTTCTGCCACTTCCTCAAGCAGAAGAGAGCCAGCCCCATCAGAATCTGTGTGTTCTGTCTGAGAATACCTGCAAAGAAGTAGGTGGCGAGCACTGGATGTTTAGACCCTGGGGTCAAGAGAGAGGTAGGGCTCAAACAGAGGTATGAGAGTCGTCCACATAGACAGGACGTTGACACCGTGGGTACAGGCAGGACCTCCCCAGAAGGGATGTGTTGAGAAAAGAATGAAGGGCAAAGATAGGGCTGTTGGAAATGGGACAGGAAGGAGAGTCTCCAAAATCGGGCCTGCTTAGCCTAACTGTTCTTCCTGCTGCATTCTGTCCCCCTCTTCCTGGTCCAAGTCAGAGTCATTCTTATCACCTCTTCACTGGTCACTTTGTCCTTAGTTCTTTCTCATCTACTTCCCCCTGGCCAGCCACCCGACACACTGCCATCTGCTCTCAGCCCGTGCCATATCATCTTTGCCTGTGATGCCCTCTCCCATGATGCTCTCTGTTTATGTTCCACCCTACATTCCACTTCCCCCGTTCCTCCTGCTCAGGGGTTTACAGTGGTGCCCCCAGCATGGTGGCCTGTTGGCAGTTGTGCAAACAAGGGGCCACCGTGACTAACACTTCTTGAACTGAATGTCACACAGAACCAGATGGGTCCATTGAAGGGGACCGTGTGATTTCCCGAAGGCAGTGACCTTCTGTCGAGAAGTGTTTAGACTAGCAGTATCCAATGGAAATGCAGTGTGTGCCCTGTGTCTCATTCTAAAGTGTCAGCCACCTTGGAAAAAAAAAAACTATGAAATTAATTTTCTACTATATATTTTCTTTAACCTGATACAGCCACAATATTATCAT